TTTCACCGATTGAGATCGGTTTCTATCTATTTACACCGATTAAATCTTCGTTCCAACCTTTTCCACCGATTAAATCCCTTCCTACCTCGAACCCTAGAATCTCCTCCGAACAAACCTTTGAATCTAGGGTTCGCCTTTGATTTCACCGTCTTTCGCTGTGTCCTTGTTCGTCGACTCGATTTTACACCGGAATCATGGATTCATGCCGATCCGCCTCGACTAGGAGTCATCACTCGTTCATCATTCTTTGGTGTGGTATTCTGTGTAGTCTCGTTCATCATTCTCTGGTGTGGTGTGGTAAGAGAGAGTCTATGTGTTGGTGTGCTGGTAATAATGACTAAAGAGGAGCTTGGTGGTTTCAGGATTTACAATTCCATAACTCAGCATAAAGAGATCTTCAAAACATTGTAATACTTGTTTAAAAGTATTTAAGTAGGTTTAGATATTACACTATCTCGTAGCATTTAAAAGGTTAAATTGTAATACTTGTTTTGAAACATTTTGGATAACCCCCACCAATTAAACATCTTATTAAGGTTCACACTCTTTTCTATATTATATTAGTATTATTAAGATGGGGTTTTCAAGGAGGTAAATAAATTTTTCCTTTTATTTACTTACCCTACATTATAAGGAATACTTTTTTACCTTATCAATAACATATATTGATCTTGAAATTCTAAACGATTGTGTAGATAACTACTACCGCCGTGTCACAATCTGCTCAGCAAACTAATTCCAAAGGAAGCCAGTGTTATCTGGTCACAACCAGGTCATTAGGATTTTCCATAACTCATTAAAGTTTCTGTTTTACAGTATAGGTGACATTTTCCCTTTACTCAGTTTAAATTTTGAGGGTGGAGCTTCAATGATTTTAAAACCGGAGCAGTACCTTATGCATAATGGTTATCGTGTAAGTATGTCTGTTAAATAACTCATACATTTGAATAAGGAAGTTGTTATTTGAAATTATATGTTGCTTATATGCTGAGGTGCCTTCTTCTTAAACAGGATGGTGCTGAAATGTGGTGCATCAGTTTCCAGAATGTACATGAGGGAGTTTCAATTTTAGGAGGTTAGATGCTGGACATTTTTTGACAGAATAAAGTCCTCAGAACGCAATGAATAAAGATACCATTAACTTTGAAGAGAGGAGCAGTGCTAATAAAAGAACATATATGAATTTTTTAATGGAACAAAGAATGTCGATCACTTTTATAATGATAATCTAACTGGTATATATAACCTTTGCAGGTTGAATTTCCGAACCTGGAGAACCTGAAGCTGTATTAAATCAATATCCAGATGATATGGATTAATCACCATCATTCTTACTTTGAAAACTTGACCTCTTTGACAGTAGATGGATGTGAACGGTTGACATATATTTTCTCATACCCTGTGGCTGTAAAACTTGTCAAACTTCAACATCTTTTACTTAGTTCGTGCAAATTCGTAGAAAAGATATTTGAGCCGGATGAAAACTTGGGTCACATTCATCATTTTAGAAAATCCACTCAAACAGAACTGGTGAGCATTTCAAATTGGTTCAAGTTTATCTTTAGGTTAGTTCTTAGACTTATTCTTAGCATTCAATTGTGAAGCCTGAAGCATGTTATTAACTTTATGATATAGGTTCCAATTTTCCCCAACCTGGAGACATTTGTGATTTCTCATATGGATAATTTGAAGGCAATATGGCCAGCCCTACTCCCTCAAAATTCGTTTTGTAAACTGAAAAAGATGGAAATCGCATCCTGCAACAATCTCTTGAATGTTTTCCGATGTCATGTGCTAGACAAATTACAAAGCCTGGAATCACTGAATGTATGGAAGTGTATGGCATTGGAAGTTGTATATGATGTATTAAATATTATTAGACAATTTAATGTTTGAAATGAATTCTATTTAGTTAATTTTATTGAATTTGTTCATTTGAAGCTATATTGATTATAATTTCATTGGATGAGATGATAATACAGGAATATGATTATAATTTCATTGGATGTCAATTGTAATAATCAATTTTTTTTTAAAAAACATATATTATGACGTACTAAACAATATACGTCATAATAATACGTTGATTCTGAATTCAGCATATTATGATTGGTAAAAATATCTACATCATAATACATCACATATTATAACGTATCAACACATATATGTCATAATATCTTTCTGTCATATATTATAATGGATAAATTAAAATTTGTCATAATAAACTGCGCATCTTATGACTGATTTCATAAACTAAAAACTAAGTTATAATATGTTCAAGCTATTATGACGTAAATTTTTGCTACGATGTAAAATGTGCAGACTTACTATAACACCCAAAACTATGTCCCTAATAACTAGGTCATAATATATCATCACTTTTATACGTCATAAAATGTCATTTTTCCACTGGTGATTTCCACCCATAACTTGATTCTATAAGATTATAGGAGACACGTGGAGCTTGTTTGAGAGGTAAATTTTCTTCTTTAACTTGCAAAATTAACATTTCTTCCCTTTTTGAACATAAGCACAGGTTACAAAAACGTTTACAATCTTTCTCCATGTAAAAATTGATATTTAATATATAATTGATGGATCAATCACCATTTTTAAACTATAAATATAATTACCAAACAAATCATAATAAATACTCTGTATAATTTATCTTGAAGTGCTAAGCATACTCCTTTCATTTTAATGTCAAATTTAATATTATAAAAACTATAAAATCTTTTTTATTCAAATAAGCATCATTCCTTCCTAAATATGAGTTATCATGACATTGATTAGAGCGGTCAAAACGGGCCACCCGGCCCGACCTGATCCGGCCCACCACGGGTTGGTGGGTAAACGGGTTGGTTCATTGGCTCATTTAATTACAATATTTTTTAAATAAAAAAAATTAATTTTTAAAATAAGAAACTTAAATAATTTTTTCAAGCAAAAACAAAATAATAAATATTTTCTTATAAAATTAAAATTAAATTTTAATAAAATAAAATTAGGTAGATAGATTGGTGAGCCAACCCGGCCCACCACGGATTCAACCCGCATGAGCCGGGTTTAAATGAGCCGGGTTAAAATCTGACCCACATAAAAAAGATACAATTTTTTCAAACTCAACCCGGTTTAAATCCATGGTGGATCAGATTAGCCTGCGGGTTGTGACCCTTTTGACAGTTTCTAACATTGATAAAAACTAAAATTTTCTCCTACATTTTTGTTCTATTTTCATTCCACCTACCTGAAAACCTTTCATTCTAATATTTTTTGATATTTTAGACTGTTTTTATATAATTAGACTTTGCTAAAAATATCACTTGCATCCCTATAAATTACTATTTTTCAATTTTAAAAAAAGTTGAATTGGGTTCGGAAAATTTACAATATAATGAGAAATCTTAAAATTTTAAAACGCCTTCTCTAACATTTTTCGTCATGACAACGAACTTGAAAGGCTACATCATTACAAAATATAAACCTATTTTATACTAATTTGATTAACCTTTGTTCACCTTAAATAAATTATTATATTAACAATAAAATTCTAATAATAGAGTTTGATTGGGAACAAACACCATTCTTTGTCCATTCTCCCTCAGTTCTTGAATTTATTCTCTTAGGAACAAAAAGTACCTTCAAGTTATTTCCATCTATTTAATCTTTCAATGAAAAAAAAATCAATACAAACTCAATCATTGAATCATAAAAGCCACACTCGACAATAAATGATTGTTCGTTCCAATAATTTTATTTTATAAACCAAAAACACTAATCAAATAGTAAAGAGATTATGTTTCTGACTTAAATATTTTCCAATTTAACAATTATTAATTGAACCACAGCAGGAACCATCACAAGAAGAAGGTCTTTCTCGTTAAATCACTCAATTCAATTTTAAAAATACGTTTATTGTAATTTTATAACTTGAACAAGGATTCAAATAAGTCAGACACAATTGAAAGATTATTTATTTTTATATTATAAATAATCTATACTAAGAAAGGAATATGGACTTATGTAATTGATAACATTTTGATTAAAAAAAGATTAATAAAAGTTATTATTATTTTTCTTTTTTAATCATATGTTTAGTACTTAAAAAAATCATGAACCAACACACAAAAACACTTGTATTTTCACTGGGTTATATATAATTATAAACTATGATACATAATTTGAAAAAGGAGATTTTTAAACTCAATTTCTCAACCTCCCTCGCTTGGAATGTACAATGTACACAACACACATAAAAAATCTGTCAATTATATATCTTAAATTATAATTCTTATTAATTTATTTATATATTGAATTTTCTTAATTATTCATCTATTTCAAATTATCACCTCTATTCTTTATCTCTAAATTAAATTTTCGATGGTTTTCTTAACGTATTTATAGTTAAAATAGATTTACATAGTAAGGGTGTTTGTAGATTTAGTTGGGTAAGACGTTACCTAACCTACTAAAAATATGACGAGTTGGTCATGTTGGGTTTCTACATTTTTATGTTAAATTCAATCCAACTTAGCCCATTAAATGAGTTAGATTGACTTTGGTCAATTGGATAAAAATTTTGAAAAACCTTTTTTTTTTATGATTAAAACTACACGCTAAATAGAGATAAATTAAACAAAATATAAACAAAATAAAAAAAAAATATTTGCAAAAATTATCTTAAAATTCATTTTATTTAAACATTTATCATAATTAAACCTATCTTTCTTGACTAATTTTGTCTAACTAAACAAGATCTTCCTATATTACTACTCTCTAATCTATGTTAGTTGAAACAAACATCAGATCACTTAAAAAATTATATATTAAATAAGGGATAATGATATTTTGACATCGTTTTTTTGACAAATTTTTTACTCTGCTACGTGTCACGGTCTTATTGGATCATGTGGAAAAGCAATTAAAAAACGAAAATGACATGGAAATGCAAGGGATGTAGGGGATTTGATTTCGTGGCTTCATTTTGGGGTTTGAAAAAATAGAACCTCATTTTCGCCCACCCACATAGAGAACTCCCTCCCACCCGCAAGCGTCGTCGGAGCAGAACTTGCCGTTGACAGACTTTGCATCGTTCATCGGAGCCGCCGTCGTTCACCGGAGCCTTGTCCGTTGTCGCTTCGCCGTTTCGAACCACCAACGAACGTGGAAACCACCATTGACGTGGTTTTTGAAGGTTAGCGTTGTTCCTTTGGCTAATCCTTTCAACTTGTTCGGTGGGTTTGCGTTATTTTCAAAAAAATAAATTACCATTTAGTGGTTCTTGTTTTTTGTGGGTGTTTAGTGTTGTTTTTGGGTGTTCTTGTTCGGTGGTTTGAACTTTTGTTGTTCATTTTGGGGTTGTTGTGCTTTTTGGGTGCAAAGTTTAATTTTTTGGGTTATTGTTGGGTTTTTTTGTAGGTACTATTGCAATTGAGGGAGTTGGTCAATAGAGTGAAGTTTGTAGGAAGAAGGTATGTGGGGTTGGTTATATTATATTTCAAAAAATTGAAGTTTTTGATGGATTTAAATAGAAACCATATTTTTGTATGTAGTTAGTCTTTAGACAATGGTGCAAGACGAAGTTGATAGGTGCTTTGTGGAAGTGAAGATCCATGTCAAAGTACGTCGGTTCAACAAGATGACCACCAAAGCCTAGGGTTTGAAGGTGACGTTCAAATGAAGCAAAACACTATGTATGATCGAATGAAGGGTGGACCGCGAAGACGGTTCAAGAGCCGGACGACTAGAACTCCATTCACCGTAGATGTAGGAAGAAAACAATGAGTAGTAGAATGGGAAATGCTTTGATGCACAAAGAATAGGAAATGTTTTAGAATTTGAGATGACTTTGTTCAAGTACCATAGGAAATGTAATTATTACTTAATATTTTCATGTACAAAGAATTGTTGTTTGACATTATTTTGAATTTAATTTGATTGTCTAAAATTGGTTGAATGAGATTAGTTTTATGTTCTGTGTTTGCCACATTGATTGAATGTGGTACCTAGTTAATTGAAGTTTGTTGGGTAACCAAATAAGGAGGTCTGTTATATCAAATTTTTGTATTATATTGACAGATTTAATGATTTTGTGAAGTTTGGAAATTATTTTTAAAGTTCATTTTATGACCTAGAGCCTATGTTTTTGTTCATGATAGAATAACCTTGTTGAAATTAAGTTTTTATGGACATCACAATGAATTTTTGAAGTTGGAAACACTTCTGTACAAGTCAGTGTACCTCTGTGTGCAAAAGTTACAACACAAGTCTCCAATTATTTAAACTATGGTCCCAAGAGTTGGTGCAAGATTATTTTTTGTTTTTCAAGTTGATTTTGTGAGTTTGGGTGTATGTTTATTTCATGATAAACCAAGGTTTTTCAAATTAATGGTGTGTGGACATGAAACTCAATATTTTAAGTTGGAAACACTTATGTACAAGTAAGTCTACCTCTGTGTGCAAAACTTACAACACAAGTCCCTACTTATTTGAACTATGGTTCCAAGAGTTGGTGTAGGATTATTTTTTGTTTTTAAAGTTGATTTTGTGTGTTTGGGTTTATGTCTATTTCATGATAGTTCTTCAAATTAATGTTGTGCGGACATGAAACTCAATATTTTAAGCTGGAAACACTTATGTAGAAGTCAGTCTACCTCTGTATGCAAAACTTACAACACAAGTCCCCACTTATTTGAACTATGGTCCCAAGAGCTGCTGCAGTATTATTTTATGTTTTTAAAGTTGATTTTGTGAGTTTGGGTGTATGTTTATTTCATGATAGACCAAGGTTCTTCAAATTAATGGTGTGTGGACATGAAAGTAAATATTTTAAGTTGGAAACACTTATGTACAAGTCAATCTACCTTCGTGTGCAAAACTTATAACACAAGTCTCCAGTTATTTGAACTATGGTCTCAAGAGCTGAGGCAGAATTATTTTTAGTTTTTAAAGATTATTTTGTGAGTTTGGGTGTATGTTTATTTCATGATAGACCAAGGTTCTTCAACTTAATGGTGTGTGGACATGAAACTAAATATTTTAAGTTGGAAACACTTATGTACAAGTAAGTCTACTTCTGTATGCAAAACTTACATCAGAAGTCCCTAGTTATTTGAACTATGGTCCTAAGAGCTGGTGTAGGATTATTTTTTGTTTTTAAAGTTGATTTTGTGAGTTTGGGTGTATGTTTATTTCATAATAGATCAAGGTTCTTCAAATTAACGGTGTGTGGACATAAAACTCAATATTTTTAGCTAGAAACACTTATGTACAGCGGAACGGTGAAACGATGGAATGGCGAAAAGGGGTTGGTGTCTCGAAACGACGGACACAGCTTTGGTGAACGGTGACGGTTCGGTGAAAGCTAGCAAAATGAATCCCCTGCTGTCCTTGCATTTTCATATCATTTTTATTTTTTAAATTATTTTACACATGAACCAATCCCATAACGACACGTGGATGATGTAAAAAATTTGTGTAAAATACGAGATTAAATTATCATTATCCTATATAAGTCTTTAAAAATTAATATAAGTTTGGAATATATATTATTATTTTAGTTACAACCTTTTAAGACGATAAGACAGCGTTTGGCACAAAGCGGAGTTTAGGTCTGAAGCAAGCAAGGAAGTTCTGGAATGAGTGAAGAGAAAGAGTGAATGGTGGGATCCTTGTGGTGTTCCCAAAATCACAAAAATGGCGATGCTTTGTAAGGTATCATCCTCACTCTTCCTTTCACTCTCCCTCAAACCTAAACTCATCTACCGCACCAATGCCTTTCTGCTTTCTCGTTCAACCGCCACCACCTCAAAGCACAAGACGCAGAACGCAAAAGCAGGGTTGGCCAAAGAAAAGCGCAGAACGCGCTCCGACAAACACTTCAACCCAGACGCTATAATTCAACATTGCAACGTTAACCACTCCGACACCGACACCAAGTTTTCGCACATTCCGGTCATGCTGGGTGAAGTCATGGACGTCTTCTCCGCCGCTTCCTTAACCTCCTTCGTCGATTGCACCCTTGGCGCTGCCGGTCACTCCACCGCTGTTAGTATTTTTATTCTTCTTTATTTGTTAATTTANATTTAATTTGATTGTCTAAAATTGGTTGAATGAGATTAGTTTTATGTTCTGTGTTTGCCACATTGATTGAATGTGGTACCTAGTTAATTGAAGTTTGTTGGGTAACCAAATAAGGAGGTCTGTTATATCAAATTTTTGTATTATATTGACAGATTTAATGATTTTGTGAAGTTTGGAAATTATTTTTAAAGTTCATTTTATGACCTAGAGCCTATGTTTTTGTTCATGATAGAATAACCTTGTTGAAATTAAGTTTTTATGGACATCACAATGAATTTTTGAAGTTGGAAACACTTCTGTACAAGTCAGTGTACCTCTGTGTGCAAAAGTTACAACACAAGTCTCCAATTATTTAAACTATGGTCCCAAGAGTTGGTGCAAGATTATTTTTTGTTTTTCAAGTTGATTTTGTGAGTTTGGGTGTATGTTTATTTCATGATAAACCAAGGTTTTTCAAATTAATGGTGTGTGGACATGAAACTCAATATTTTAAGTTGGAAACACTTATGTACAAGTAAGTCTACCTCTGTGTGCAAAACTTACAACACAAGTCCCTACTTATTTGAACTATGGTTCCAAGAGTTGGTGTAGGATTATTTTTTGTTTTTAAAGTTGATTTTGTGTGTTTGGGTTTATGTCTATTTCATGATAGTTCTTCAAATTAATGTTGTGCGGACATGAAACTCAATATTTTAAGCTGGAAACACTTATGTAGAAGTCAGTCTACCTCTGTATGCAAAACTTACAACACAAGTCCCCACTTATTTGAACTATGGTCCCAAGAGCTGCTGCAGTATTATTTTATGTTTTTAAAGTTGATTTTGTGAGTTTGGGTGTATGTTTATTTCATGATAGACCAAGGTTCTTCAAATTAATGGTGTGTGGACATGAAAGTAAATATTTTAAGTTGGAAACACTTATGTACAAGTCAATCTACCTTCGTGTGCAAAACTTATAACACAAGTCTCCAGTTATTTGAACTATGGTCTCAAGAGCTGAGGCAGAATTATTTTTAGTTTTTAAAGATTATTTTGTGAGTTTGGGTGTATGTTTATTTCATGATAGACCAAGGTTCTTCAACTTAATGGTGTGTGGACATGAAACTAAATATTTTAAGTTGGAAACACTTATGTACAAGTAAGTCTACTTCTGTATGCAAAACTTACATCAGAAGTCCCTAGTTATTTGAACTATGGTCCTAAGAGCTGGTGTAGGATTATTTTTTGTTTTTAAAGTTGATTTTGTGAGTTTGGGTGTATGTTTATTTCATAATAGATCAAGGTTCTTCAAATTAACGGTGTGTGGACATAAAACTCAATATTTTTAGCTAGAAACACTTATGTACAGCGGAACGGTGAAACGATGGAATGGCGAAAAGGGGTTGGTGTCTCGAAACGACGGACACAGCTTTGGTGAACGGTGACGGTTCGGTGAAAGCTAGCAAAATGAATCCCCTGCTGTCCTTGCATTTTCATATCATTTTTATTTTTTAAATTATTTTACACATGAACCAATCCCATAACGACACGTGGATGATGTAAAAAATTTGTGTAAAATACGAGATTAAATTATCATTATCCTATATAAGTCTTTAAAAATTAATATAAGTTTGGAATATATATTATTATTTTAGTTACAACCTTTTAAGACGATAAGACAGCGTTTGGCACAAAGCGGAGTTTAGGTCTGAAGCAAGCAAGGAAGTTCTGGAATGAGTGAAGAGAAAGAGTGAATGGTGGGATCCTTGTGGTGTTCCCAAAATCACAAAAATGGCGATGCTTTGTAAGGTATCATCCTCACTCTTCCTTTCACTCTCCCTCAAACCTAAACTCATCTACCGCACCAATGCCTTTCTGCTTTCTCGTTCAACCGCCACCACCTCAAAGCACAAGACGCAGAACGCAAAAGCAGGGTTGGCCAAAGAAAAGCGCAGAACGCGCTCCGACAAACACTTCAACCCAGACGCTATAATTCAACATTGCAACGTTAACCACTCCGACACCGACACCAAGTTTTCGCACATTCCGGTCATGCTGGGTGAAGTCATGGACGTCTTCTCCGCCGCTTCCTTAACCTCCTTCGTCGATTGCACCCTTGGCGCTGCCGGTCACTCCACCGCTGTTAGTATTTTTATTCTTCTTTATTTGTTAATTTATAGAGATCCCCTCTTATCAATTTCGCCAAAATCAGATTTTTAACTTGTAAATAAACTGATTTTAGTTCATGAAGAAACCTGTTTCTTTTGTTTTTCTGATTTTCTTCTGTTAAAGTGTTTCTAGAAGAAGTTATCCAAAGATCGGTGAGACTTCTCAATTTGTTTATGTTCTTGTGCATGTAAAGCAATTTTTAGTTTGGTCACTAATAACTATACATGTAGTAGAATTCTTAATTTGACCCGTACAACTGTAGGGAATTCTTAATTTTGCTCCTATATTACAAGGATCAAATTAGAAATGTGTCACTTGGACAGAAACCATGTTAAGTATGCACACTCAAATTAATGATCTATTAAGGGTTCCTTCAAATTAATGTATTTGGGTAATGGTGGGAAGAACCAAATCAGTAATAGTTTTACAAATATAAATGTGTAGGGATATCTGTAGTAAGTTTTTAGTAAATTGAGGATTGTTTTAGTGAGTGAACTAATAATTCGTAGGGAATAACTTAAATGTTTCACCTTTTTTAAATTTGTGGAATTTTGTTTACGGGTGTTGTTGAAGGGCTGAGAAATGGAATAAAATGAAATGAAACAGGTGATCAAGGGTCATCCTGAGATGAAGTTTTTCGTGGGGATGGATGTGGATTCTGTTGCACACGACATTGCCCAGCCACGCCTTGATGCCGTTTTAAGTGGTGATGTCAAAGCTTTTACCGTTTTGAGGAATTTTAGAGATGTGAAGTCTGTGCTTAGAGAATTCTCAGACTTACACATGGGTGTTGATGGCATCTTAATGGACTTGGGAATGTCATCTATGCAGGTTTGTTCTACAACCAAATATGCATAGGACATATTTGATGTACTTGTTGATATGCACGTCAAACAACGAGAAGTTAAAATGAAATACAATTTCTCCTATAAATTAAAATCATTTATGTATAAGTTAATTCATATAAGTTCTCTTATTTAGGATGTGTTTGGATAAACTTTTCCAAAAAACACTTACAGAAGAAGAAAATGGGAATGAAAGATGAAATAAGTTTTTCTATAAGCTAAAATTATCTTTAAAAACTTTGTTTTAGGTTATGCATAAACTACTTTTATTAACACATGAGAAATTTATTTCATTGTAAGTGTTTGTGGATAAGTTTATCCAAAACATACCCTTAGTTTCTCCAAAAAAGTTATTGTAACTTACGTATACGCTAATTTTTAGTTATAGAAGAAGCTTAATTAATATATTTTCTACAGTGTCTGTTGAGAAGTTTATCCAAAGAGGATCATCATACCCTTCATTAATTTATCTGCACTCTTGTGTTTCATCTATTGTGGTTTCAAATTGAAGCTCACTTGTTGAAATTACAATTTGCCGCTATTGCAATTGCTAAGACAGTACTTGGATAAGTGCTTGAGTATTTTGGATCTCAGACTTCGGGGTGCATTTGGATAAACAACTTAATTAAGCTTTTATAGAATAAATGCTTATCATTTTATGATTTTTTATTTTTATATTTTTGAGCAAAGAGGAAATAAGGTTTAATTGTTTTGAAGTTATCCAGGAGATTTTGATGAAATAGGCTAAAGTTAACTTACGAAAATATAAACTGTTTTTATAAACTCTCCTAAAGCACTTGCAGGAATGCTTATGTCATCATTCCAAAGAAGATTTAAATAAGCTATTCCAAATGCACTAGCGTTGATTTTTCTTATGTATTTTGGTTTAGGTAGACAATCCTGCGAGAGGATTCAGTGTGCTCAGTGATGGACCCCTTGATATGCGGATGGATCCTCAGGTATAGTTTATCTTTGAAGAATGGGATAAGTAGATATGGTGGCAGCTGTTTATTTTTTTATTGCATTACATGTAATGTTGTTGCTGACATAATAATTGCAAGGTTCAAAATTGCCGGGATGGCATCAAATATATGTTGTTTAATGTTGTCGGGCCATTTTCTTTGTAGTCTCTTCGCTTAGTTAAGATGGTTTAATCCAAGTTGCTATGTCTAAACGGTTTGGCTTCTCTAAAGAAAGGGATGCTGTTACAAGTATGGAGTTATAAGCCAAGTGATATTTCAATCAATGCCAGCGATTGTAACAAAGTTCCGCTGCATACATATGCACGAAATCATGGAGTTGTTAAAATTCATTATGTTTTGTTTTAATCAACTATTGTAAATCTACACTTCTCTCTCTAAAGTGTGCCTCTTTCTTTAAAGGAGTAAAATTTATATCTAAAGTACCTTCTCTAGAAGTTTAGATATATGATCCGCAGTACCAAGTTATCTGTGTAAGCAATGCTGGAAACCCGTTTGATGGCTTTCTTTAATCCTTCTTGTTGACAAATGTGCCTATTTCCTCTTTTGCCACACTATAATACTTTTTGTTGTTTTTGGTAATCAAGGCAAACAAGTTTCTCGTGTAATTATGCCCAGTTGACCGTTTGCTGATGAGTAATACATACTTTTTCTTTGCTATTGAACTGATGCACAGGCCTATGACAGGCAAGTCTTAAAGCAGAGGACATATTAAATTCCTGGCCAGATTCTGAAGTGGGCCGTATCCTAAGAGAATATGGAGAAGAAAGCAATTGGCGAACCCTGCAAAAGAAAATTGTCAATGCCCGATTACATGGTGGATTTCACTCTACCTCTGATTTGCTAGATCTTATCAAGCGTGTGACTCCTCCAATGAAAGGTAGTTCCTTCTCCGGGCTTCTGTTTTTGCAGTTCTGTGTCCTCTTTGACTTATAAGCATTACTTGTCGTGCATGTCATTCCTGATCTTCTCTATAATACCATTCCTGATCTTCATGTATGCTAACTTTCAAAGAGAATTATGAAATTATTTTT